AAAAAAAAAAAAAAAAAGGGTCCATATAATGCTGTTTTCTGCACTATAGTGTAATTAGAAGGGATTTTTTCCCCTTGATTTGGAAAGGGAGCTCTAGGTAATTCTACATATTATACTTGGAGGGATAAAGAAAAGTTTTAGAAGTAAATTATTGTCTTGCATTTTTTTTGTACTTCTTGCACCCATGTTGTGCAGTGCCCACAGAGGACAGAAGGGGGCATTGGATCCCCTGGAATTGGAATTACAGATGATTGTTAGCCACCATGTGGGTGCTAATGTTCTTAACTGCTGAGCCATCTCTCTAGCTCCTACTATTATGAATTTTTAATGGTAAATTTTATTTTTCTCAATAACACAATATACTATATACAAACTGTAGAAAAATTGAAAAGCTCATATAAAGAAAAAGTTCTATTTAGTGGTTATTCCACTACTTCAAAATGGTTAACTATTAATCTTTTTAAACCTCAAGCTTAACCTGTATTGTTAACCTTAATTTAATTTTTTTTTCTAGTATGTCTTTTATTTTATGGGTCACATCATTTTAAATTATGACTTTTTCCACATCCAACAGAAATAGTTTCTATATTGTTAGAATCTTCATAAAAAGCATTTAGACTATGGCTTAGTAAGGCTATATCAAAGAGATACACTATCCACCATTCCACGATCGCTACTTAGGCTATTTTCACTTTTAAACATTTATATGCTTCTTAGTTTTAAAAAGTTAGTTTGTGGTGCTCAGGAGATAGCTCAGTTGGTAAACTGCTGCCAACAAGTGTGAGCACCAGAGTTCAGAGTCCCAGTCTCAACATAAAAGCTGCACACATCTGTAAGTCTAGCACTGGGGCAGCAAAGTCAGAAGGACCCCTGGAACTCATTGGCTAGCCAGCCAATAGATGAACTTCAGATCCAGTGAGAGATCTGTATCAAAAAATGAGGTGGAGGGTGAATAAGGAAGATACCAATGTGACTTCTGGCCTCTATACCCGCCCATAGAAACACATATATACACTATACACCACACATACACACACACACACACACACACACACAAATTTAAATTGTATTTAGTTTCCTTAAAATGGTTCTGACCTTTGAGAAAATGTAGACAACGTTTCTACTTAAGCAGGGAGAAAAATCCCTATTGTTGTACAGAGATATCTTCCCTTTTTCCCTAGTAGCCTCTCGGTAAAAAAAAAAAAAGCTAGGTGGTCATTCCACTTTCCACTAGAGTGAGGAAGGACCCTCCTCAAAACAAAGCGGTGGTCCAAGTTTAATGGTGTGCAGTACGCACACATTGGCTCACCAGTTTTTTGCTGTTTACCCTCAGTAAATGGTGTGCAGCTTCAGCTTTCTCATCTGTAACAGGACAATTACCTCATTGCGCTCCTGGGAGGGTTTAACAGGAAACAACATAGGTGAGCACTGAACACTATGCCTGGCCAGCAAGGCCCTCTTCTAATTATAACACTCCTGTGGAAGGGCTAAAGAGGGAGAGGGGTATGATGATACGGTATCCAGCCTTCCATCTATTAAAGAATATTCCAAGCTCTCGCTTCCAGTCTCAGAGGAACACAGAAATTCAGGCCATGCTCATAAACTCCCATGTAGTACCGCAGTTTTGGTTCCTGATCTGATTCTGAGCTGCAAATGATCTGGGGACTCCCTGTTTCCCTAGGAACTGACCTCTCCCTGCATCTAGCTATAGTTACTACCTCCTTTCCTTTCACCCCAATCATGGTCCAGGCCCTAGATACTGCCTCTTTCTGCTGCCTCCCTCGTCAAAATGCTTCTGAAACTGAACTTCCCAATCTGCCTGCCAGACTGCTTTTCCACTATCACAACCTGCTTGTTCTCTTCAGTCTTGTTCAGTAGCCTCACTGATTCCTTGTTACCATGTCATCAAACAAAAAATCAAAAACGGGTGGCTTTTCCAGGCCTCCACTGCTACCTACTTTATTCTCTTGTTTCTCCCTGCTTATTCTGACCTCTTTCCTTGTCATGTCTACTTCACCATCTCCAGTCAGAACAGACTGAGCGTTTACTTGGGATGAATTATATCCTCATTTGAAGGTCTTGATCTTTGTCAAAGGGCAACCCAAAAATGTTGCTTGAAATTGGCAGATGCTCACATTTTACTGTAAATGAGTCTGATTCTCTTGGGAAATGTTGGGTAGTCAAGGATATGAGCATCCCAGATGTCATTATGGGAAACCCTTCTTGATGTGCCTGAGAATCACTGATCCCTGCTTCTTCTTCCATTTCTCCTGGGTGCCTTCCTTAATGCATCTCTTGCCCATCTTCTAAAGTCTTCTACAGTATGAGCCTGTGGCCTGTACTTCCTGGCTGACAGGTCTATTCACTCTCTTCTGACCTTCTACAGTGTCCATGCTTGGTTCTAACTTCTTCAGCATTATGGTCTCACATCCTCCACATTATCCCTAACTTCTCCCTCAAAGTTCTTGAGGGCAGAGGCCATTTGTTTCCTTCTTAGTAGTTGCTTGATAAATGTGAGACCCATGATTTGCATCCCAATGGACCATTCTCCCTAATCAAAAGCACTCTGTGTGTAACCCTCAGGGACTATCCCCTTTTTCTTCTGTTTTTCTCACTGGCCCAGAACTCACCAAGTAGGTCAGGCTGGCTGGCCACTGAACCCTAGGGATTCTGCCCGTCTCTATCTCCCTAACATTGAGATTACCAGTACACACCACCATGATGGGCTTCTTCCTGTGGAATCTGGGTACTGGAATCTGAACTCAGGGCCTGCCTTGTACTTGCAAGTCAAGCACTTTACCAGCTCTGCCACCTCTCCAACCTTCAATGGCACCCTGGGACTACTTCAGCTCTTCTGGCCTAGGCTGAGCATTCCAAAATGGTAACCATTCACTCACTACCTCCAAAGCCTTTCTTTTGCTGGAAATATGGAGGAGCAGATGTTATTCTGACACAAGCTCAGGATAAAACAAAATGCCCACACTACTATTCTCATTTTATGATCAAAGTGGGGAAAGTCCCATCTTTGTAGATAACATCATTTAATCTCATTCACCTGTACTGATAAGTTGATATTTAGGACTAGTAAAAATTTAAGAACAGAGCGGGGCATGGTGGCCCAGGTCTTTAATCCCAGCACTTGGGAGGCAGAGGCAGGTGGATCTCTGTGAATTCAAGGCCAGCCTGGTCTACATAGTAAGTTCCAGGCCAGCTGGGGCTACAGGGAGACCCTGTCTCAAAAAGA